ATGTCATGTTGGATGCATTTTAGCTTAACCTTTAGACATTATTTCAATTTAAAACATCGCCCAGTTTGTTGAAAAATGTACCTTCCAAGGGTTTATATAAAATGATACGAATGCCAGAAAACAACCAAACCATATCAATAGACTACAGCACAATGCGGACCTGCATTTAGCAAATGTTTTGAGAAATAGTTCCTTCTTATTCCAAAATTTCATTGTGGGCATCTTTTAAAGTCCTTAGAAAAGACCTTTAGGCTCCTCTCAAATACGCTGAGTATTTTTCACGTTTGAAAAGCATTTACGATGCATTTATAGTACTAAATATTTATATGCACAAGGGGAAGTCTTCAGTTGATTTGTCTACATAAGAGACGTCTTAATTACTGCAGTAAAACCGGCTGAGCGGTATAGAGTTTCAGTTTTTAGACTCGTGTTCAAAGAGCGCGTGCGTCCATTTTTACTGTGCTCTTGTAACTTCACGTACGGCTGTCACATAATTTCACAGCGCCTGCATTAAACTGTTTTTTTTCCTTTGGCACATGCGTATTTGATCCAGACTGCAAATTGTATAACACTGGACGATGTCTCGCTTTGTGAGTCGTGTTCATTTCTGTCTGTAAACGAGCCTACTGTAATTGGCACGAAAGCTAATTCCCCATCATTAGCAGAACAAAGAACTTGTTGGAGGAAAAGCGATGACCTGGGAGTGTACATGCCAGTAGACGCCTCCAACAAGGTGAGGTTTAGACGTACAAGGTGGCAATTTGTGTATAGTGTTGAAATTGTTATAAGAGCAATATGAAATATAGACATGTAAACATTATAAGTTAAAGGTCAACACGAAAGGAGCCATAGCAAGTAGACAAAAAGCACTGATTTAGATGGGAGAATTTAGCAACACTTTGGAAACTTATTTTCAGGCAAAGTCATCAAACGTTTTTTGTTTGCTTAAGTTAAATTTCATCCACATCCACCACTCTTTTGTGTATTAAAATCAGAGGCGTTTCAAAATGACCGAGGAGACTTTGCTAACACCACGGTGCACTCACTACAATATTCGCAGTCAGTTGATATTGGTAAAGGTACAGTAATACGTCAGAAATAATGAGAGCATTACCAAATCCATAAGAAAAAGAAACACTCAAAATATCACGAAGGCGAAGGTAAATTTTCACGAAAACCTGAAAGTGCTGAAGGTTTCCCACGCAAGTGCATTTGAGTGCGTGTGTGCGTGGTGTCAAGTTGATTATTAGACATGGAAGAATGAAGTTTTGTGTCTAACAATTTTCTCTCTTCACTCTCCCACCTTCCCCCAGTAGCTGCTGGCAGGAGGCGGGGCCGCCAAACCTACAGTCGCTACCAGACCCTGGAGCTGGAGAAGGAGTTCCTGTTCAACCCCTACCTGACCCGGAAACGCCGTATCGAGGTGTCGCACGCGCTGGCGCTGACGGAGAGGCAGGTGAAGATCTGGTTCCAGAATCGGAGGATGAAGTGGAAGAAGGAGAACAACAAGGACAAGTTCCCCAGTAGCAAGAGCGAACAGGAGGCAGTGGAGAGGGAGAGGAGGGAGAAGGAGCTGCGGGATGGCGTCAGCGGCGGAGGTGGCGGTGGTGCAGGAGGAGGAAGTGGAGAAGGAGGTGGTGGAGGAGGCTCGGTGGCAGGCACAGCGGGGTCACAGGCTTCTGTGAACGACGATTGCTGCGAGAAAAGCCACAAGCAAATGTAGGGGAGAAAGAAAATGGGGTAGATGGGGACAGGGTGGGTGTAAATGTTAGGCAGGATGGGGTGAGGGGTGGGCTGTTTTTTCTTAACTGAGGCCACTGGACTCCCCTGCTGTCTCCACGATTCAATCGTTGGAAGGGAATGTGAGTTTCTAAAAATGGTGACTGGCTAACTAGATGGACTTGAGAGGAAAAAAACGTGACAATGAAGCAAGAAAACATAGTCTACACTAGTGTTTAAAATAAACTTAAAAAGAAGAAAAAAAGATAGCTTTCTTTCTTTGTGGAACAATTATCGTGGAAACATTTCTATATTGTTAGAAGTTAATCATTAACAATTTTATCTTTGGCAGCTGTATAGTTTTTAAGTTAAAATGATGATGATGATGATGATGATGATGACGACGATGATAATGGTGCACTTTTTACTGTACTTTTCACTTCTATGTTGTTGTTATGGCAATGATTGATGATGATGGTGATGACGTAGCAATTAATGAAATTTCCAACAACATGAAACTGCCTATTTATGCCGTTTTAGTAGGTCGGGTCTCTTTTTTACACCCTCTAACTGTCGTTTTTTCCCTTTGTTTATTTGTTTGTTTTCTTGTTTTATTTTGTTTTTTGATTGGTGGTGTTTGTCTTATGTTGTTTTCTCTTTGGGGAGGGGGGTTAAACGCATGCGCGCAGTGCAGATTCAAAAGCAAGAACATTTATAAGAATAAAAATGGGAAAATGTGATAAAAAGTCGAAGCTGAGGGTTCCTTTTATGTCTTCGTATAATCGTATAATCCCCGCCTTTCATCTTTTGTGTGGCACTCTCCATCCTTTCCCGCATCCTTCCATCCTTTTCCTTTTTATCCCTCTTCACTCTATCACCACGCAGACTTGCCAGACCGCTCAGTTCACGAGGCCAAACATTTAGCCTTGACTCGGAAATCTCTTCTTAAAACAACAGACATCCACCCTCTTATACCCTCACGGTGACACACTCGCGCACAATCCTCATCCTTCCAAACATTACTTTATTTATGGCGTGCCACTCCACCTGCATTTACATTATTAGAGACCTCTAAAGTTATCATTACACCGTCTTCCATCATCATCACGGTGATACTTCAGATCCGATTGTTTCCATATGGGAAGCTCAAATTCAGGGAGCATGCGCTTGTCCGCATTCACCTAAACTGTAGCGTATCCGTGAAGTCTGGGTTTGAATGCTATCAAATCACTGAATATTTGGCTGGTCGGGTTTTCAGGCGTTGGCTGGAAGACAGATTCAGAGTAAAGCTTTAATAGGACGACAAATAGGCTTCGAATAATTGCACAAATCTAACAGGCTTTGACATATTGAGGCAAAGTGGACCACATGTGCAGTTTCCACAATAAAAGCACATGCACTAATGTATACCTAAATGTTCGAAATATTTCATTCTGTTTGTCATTTTTAGTTTTAAAGTAATGAACCACAGTTAAGAAGCCTGTACTTGAAAATATAATTTCAGAGTACATATTTACAGACTGCACTTGTTCATTTCACTAGCTGGGCTTATGTCCTCAGTTTAGGTTTGACAGCGTTTAAGTAGATAAAGGCGAATGGCTCAAACATGAATTAAGCTGCGGTTTGGAGAAGGCCTTGGAGGGGACCCGTGGCGGCTCCCGGGCCTGGCAGATACTCATACTAATGAGAAGTGAAGACGTGAAAGAATTGAAAAAAAAAAAAAAAAGGGGGGGGGGGGGGGGGGAGTGGGGCACCAAAACGAGAACGAACGGCTTGTAGAACTGGGATAATGATGTGGTCCCGCTTCTGAAATTCAGATATTTTATGTCCAATAATATTTTACCAGCAGGAGATAGAGACACACTGTAAATGAGGGATATGGCAGTTGTAGTTGTCAAAATATAAATGTTTTGGGGCACACTGGACAACATTTCCAAGGAGTTTTTTTTATCATATCTGATTGGTGAGCTAAGTAATCATGACTGATATATTTCTGATTTAATAAGCACTTTAAGTATGATCAAAGCATACTATTAAAATATCTAATCTCGGCGGGGGGTTCCTGATGTTAAACAACTGCATGCAAACGTCATAGCCATGCTTTGCGATCTTGTCCTGCTACATGAACAGTTAAAACCGAGACAGATGCCACCTTTTTTCAGAGGTTGAAGCGTACTACATCCGATTATGTCTGACTAGTCACCAAAAACAAATCTTTTTTTCTCAATCCTCAAACTCTCCCTCGTTCTTCCAGTTCATAACTCTTATTTAGACTCAACGCGCAGATTTAATCCTGATTGAATTGAATGCTGCGTGGAAATTGAACATCTAAGGACGTAGCAGAGCACCTGCACGCTAGGTGAGTTTCTCTGAATCTACGAGGGCGCAGGATTCATTAAAGCTGAATTCAAGAGTAAAGGTGATTTATGAAACGGCATAGAGAGGTGCGCTTTGTGTTCTTCGGTGAATTTGTATAAGATCAAGACTCGGTATGCTTGTTCTTGAAACCATATCCATTACTCGTTAACTTTTGTTTGCCTGCTTTATAGTTGGAGCGTGATATGGTATGAGCAATATTAAAACGTAATTTTTTTTTTTATATTAGTGGAGAGATTTCATCTTTCACCGTTGGCTCACAGAATTATTTTCAAAGTGACACCTTTGGACTGCTTCCATTAAACGTTATCTGTTGTTTGCATTACATCCTCGTCTATCACTCTGCCTGTACTGACCAGACAGCAGCGGCCCACTGCAGGCACACAACAGCTCGTCTGTTCTGCTCTCTGCATGTGTGGTCCCCTCAAACCATGAGCCGGGACAAGACACTGAGAACAAGAGAATTCCGTTTTCTGTTGAAGTCTGCTCGGCTGCTTCGCATACGTTCCAATTGTTCTTCTTCTAATAGTGTCCTCTGCTGTTTGTTTGAAGCCCATTTCAAGTATGGCAGTTAATGATTTAGCTTTGAGTTGAATATTTGTCAGATTTCAGTCTTCTTGGTTTCTAGGTGATTGGCGAAGATTCTGAGTTGCCCCGACTTTTTTGTATAATGTTCTACATGTTGTAGGAGTCACTCCCTGTGATCCCTTTATGATTTTGCATCCGGAGGGAAACCCCGTCCGCCATTGGACATCTTGACATCACATGGACGCTCCGTCACGTGTTCTTGGAGGCAATGGGAGGTGGGGGATGAGAAATACAGGGTGGGGTGATTGTGTGTGTGTGTGTGTGTGTGTGTGTGTGTGTGTGTGTGTGTGTGTGTGTGTGTGTGTGTGTGTAAAACTATAGACAGTAATACCCCACCAATAATTCACTATCGCTCCTAAAAAGATCGACATTCAACCACCCAGGCCCACAAATCACCGGAGCCAAATTATGAGTTCGTTGGACTTCGCCAACGCGCTGTTTACCAAATACCAACAATCCACAATGAGCTGTGGACTGCTTTCAGCGGACACTTCAACTTCTCACTGTCCGTCTTCTTCTCCTTTTCCCGCCGTGTCTTCTTCGTGCGCCTTCGTGTCCAGAGGATATCGCCACCATTATGCATCCAGTGAGAGAGGCAGCAGCAGAGTCCAGTTTCCTCCCTCTTCTTCTTCTCCTCCCTCTTCCTCTTCTCCTTTATCATTTGGGTCTTCTCTTTCGGGACTAAACGGGGGCATTAGGGGTGTTGAGGCTACAGAAATATGCTCAGCAGGAGGTTATAACTCACTGGGAGTTCGGCCGTTGAGATGCCCCGCAGAGCTGTTCCCACTCAATCGGACTCAGTTATGCTCGCTGGCTCCGAAGCTTCCTGAGCCGACCTCCAGGAGGCAGAGCAGCCCCGATCAAAGAAGGCTAAACCACGAGAGACTGCGTATTTACCCCTGGATGAAAAGCTCAGGTGAGGAGAGATGGGGATAGAAAGTTATGAGAGGTGATGAGGCGCCCTCCCCTCTCGTCAGCTGGGAACACAGGGAGGTGAACTAAGAAAGAGAACTGAGTGTGTGTGTGTGTCCTTGTTCGTTAAACGGTCTTTAAACTGTTGGCCCGGTTGCGCAGCGGCCACTGTGGGTTGATGAACTATGCCTGTCAGGGTCTTTTTGCAACTATTTTACAGCACCCCTACCCACTCTGCAGTTCTTTTATGGCTCTGCCATAATGCCATAAAACCAGAATTTAAGACTTTATGAATATTCATGAGGTGATATTGTGTTTAAAAGGGGGGCAGGGTGGAGCTTTATTCTGACTGTTTGAAAATGAAGAAAAATAGTTTTCACCTGGCCGTCAGGAGTGGAATCATCACAGTCAGTGTTTGGCTCAGCTCACCTCATCCTTATGTTTCACTGTCTGCACAAACCAGTCCGCTGAAAGCCCATTGTGCTATTGTACTGTCACACAATAAGCTAACCACTACAAACACTATAAACTAGCAGATCTTTGAAGGCTTGCTCTTTCCCACGAACTGATCTGGCATGCCGACATCGAGCTGTATGCAAAATGGATACTGAGTCTCGAACTACAACAAAGATACCATGTTTTGTTTTTATAACTGGTAAAATTGAACATGTGATACAATATGGGATGTAGGTTAGGAATACTGTTGCGTAAAACCTCCGTAAAAGCGCTGAAGATATCTTTGCCCCACACAGTAAACAGTCACGTGGAATCATATAGGAGAGAAGTGAAAAATGTTAAAGCTTGCCTTGCCTCGCAGGTGAGAACCTGAAGGTTCTTCCTGCGCTTTTAAGTGGCACTATTATAAAGATGTATGGTCAAAGCTGTCATAAAAGGAAATCTTATAACCAAGTATTTGTTAAATGATTAATGTACACTTACTCTGTGCTTTACTTTATGTTTTTACGATAAGAAAAAAGCAAAGACAAGTTTCGTGTGTAGGGGACCCAGGTTTCACTATTATTTATTGTCACCATACAGTCCTCCTGTCCCACAGCCCCCGTGTGGGTGCTTATCTCACTGACAGCATAACAAAAAATTTGAAGTGTCTTTCATTTCAAGAGCTCCATAATGTATAAACATTAAACTGTAAAGAATGAAGAAATTATTTTGGAGTTTCACGTTTTCAGGCAGAAAAGTGAAAACAACGTGTGTCATATAGAATTATAAAAACTTAGTAATGGACAAATAAAATACTAGCCCACATATTGTGGCCTACAAATATAATTAGAATATTTTACCAAGATTAATTAAAAATCTTTTAAAAAAAGAAATGGTGGGAAATCACAGGCAGGCACTGCAGAGGCACTGCAAAATCCGTATTGTTGTTATTCCTAGTCTTCTCTATTTTTATTTAATGTGTATTGAGAGACCGAGTGTTCTGAGGTCGAATCAGCCAATCAATTTATAGATGTTGATTTAGATCCAGGCATCCGAAGATGACTGGACAGAGAAGACCCGGATGTTCCCGTTGATAGTGTTGATTAAGGAGACTGCTGGCCTCTCTCTTCGAATGTGTATGTGCGCACAAGCACACCAACAGACTTCTTTTCAATTACTTCGTTTTGGTTTCCCGTGTGTGTGTTTGCACCAGAGAGAGAGTAAGCAACAGCAAATCCCCTTGTTGTCACTGACTGCCAGAGAATTCCAAATCTGGCTCAAGAAAATCACTGCTGAGCAGAAAATATTACCAGCGAAAATGAATTTCACTCTCACTCACACACACACACACACACACACACACACACACACACACACACACACACACACACACACACACACACACACACACACACAAACTAGCAAAACATGTCTAGGTGCTGACAGTTACACATACTGATCTGTGGCACAAACCCAGAGGAGACTGCACACACTGAGATACTCGACAATATTCTTGGTGAGCCTTTAAGTGCAGGTTATCGACTTTCTCTTTAAGGACAATGAGAGCAATGTGTATGTAGGCATATATGTAAACAAATATGAGTTTATGTTTGTAATTACTCTCCTTCAATCATTATTAATTATTGTTATGGACTGTGAGTTAAGGGGAAAAAATACCATATAACGTGTATACGTGAAACAGGAGAAAACAGTGAGATATCCACTGACATGAATAAGAATAAACAGATAAACGCATGAACCAGCCAGTTATTACAATGTCCTCAAACACAAATAGCAGCTGCAAGAATGGAAGTAACTGGAAGTATTTTTTAAATTAAATGTATTGATTACATTCATAAATACATTCCCTGAAATGTGTATTTAATAATTACATCTAAAAAGGTGGAAAAACAAATAACCGTGGACAGGAAATAAACATCAGAACATCATATTCTCTTTTAGCATTTGAATGTGACAAGGTTGGTGTCTGTGTGTGTGAGAGAGAGAGAAGAGAAAGAAAGAAAGAACAACAAACCAAAAAAAAGAAAGAAAAGAAATTGAGGGCTTTTGGCTGAGTGAGTTGACATTCACAGTGGTGCAGTGTTGTCTCACAACAAGATGTCCCTGCGCTTGAATCTCCTCTAGGGACATTCGCCGTGATGCGTGCTCTCTGTGTCTTTCTCTTCAGATACTCTGTCATACTAAAACAGTGCATGGCATTATGCCATTTTAAATCGACCACAGGTGTGTGTGATCATGAATTGTTATATGTTATTTGTCTGTGTTACCTTGTCACAGATTAGCAGTATTTCCAAGCTATATCTGTCTTCTTGCCCTGTGAGACCTGGAAATCGAATAAGTGGAAGGAAATGGATGGAGTCAAGATTCTTTTACAAGCTCATAGACTGATTTTTACCCAAAAGATTTTATTTCCTAATTATATATAATTAGGAAATGAAATCACATCATGCATAATCACACACACACACACACACACACACACACACACACACACACACACACACACACACACACACACACACACACACCTACCTTTCGTAAGTATGTATTTAATTTTTGCTTTTTGGTGAAATTTATACACACAGAAAGGAATGATGGCAAATCACAGACAGGCACTGCAAATCCTTTATTGTAATTTCTTAAATTTTGGTTTTGATATAGATTTTATGATTGCACATCTGTGATATATGATTCTTGTATAGTGACAAGTACAACAGACAAAGATTCATGAGCTGTGCTTCCATGTCATACAGTCAATGTCATTTAGGCAGAATAAGAACACATTCATCAGAAGACCAGACATTCTGATTAAAAAAAAACTAACCTTTAATAGATTTTATCTATATATATTCACTAAAAGTATTTCATTGTCTTGAATGGTATTCAAGCTACAGCTGCAACTTTATTGGGTTCACCTACAATTCACATAGTAGAAGAAAACGTTTAGTCAATACAACTTTTATTTATTTTTTGTATGATCATTTTGGAAGAGATAGTTTTACTGTCAATATAAAGCGCCTTGAGGCGACTGTTGTGATTTGGCGCTATATAAATAAAATTGAATTGAATTGAATAGTTTGTTTTGAAGCTGTACAGAACACATTACAATAAGGGGACTAGATTTGTCTAAAGGTTTTTCACAAAAATTATATTTTCAGTACATAAAAATACTCAGTCATCATTCCTAATGATAAATATATATTTGCCCCATTAATGATGTCTTTATAGACAATGATGTTGATACAGATTGTGATCCGTCCATCATGTGTAAATATTTTACAGGAACCATGTAAAATACCTTCTCGGTTGCTATACCTAGATTTTCACTGGGTTACACCTAAAAATGTCGTGCACTGTGATCCCAATTGAAAATCGTCCAGTACACAATAGATTTCCACTGATCTCTAAATGTCATGGGTGCAGTACAAGAAGCTTTCTTTTACTGCGATGTGCAGAGGAAATGCGCTTGGACGTTTTTGTGGCCGGCAAATGACCTTTGAGATTTAAAAATGTGACCTATTTTTTTTTTAACCTTCAGGCGATGTGTGACCTCATAAACACAGGAGGTCAATGCAGTTTCACGGATTCATGCATTTTTCACAAGAAGAGGCTTTTTTCTTTAGTTTTAAATTGAATTAACAGTTCTCTACCAACATTGCCATGTGCACGTGTCCGTTTACACTGACTGTATTAATTAGTTAAAAATTACACATCAGTAATCACAGTCAGACTGATTATGCCCGTTTCTCTAAATTCTTTCATTATTTTTGTAGGTGAAAAGGATAGAAGTATATCTCAGACAGGCAGAAGCTGAAACTACGCGTTTCCCCATCATTTAAAAGTTTTTCGGGTTTGCCAGAAAGTGGAGTCGAAAACTAACCGACGAGTCAACAAGCGTTTTTTAACCTACATCATATTTCCTAATCTTTCGAGGAAGATTTTGTTTTGAAAGAGAATGTGTTTTCTTCTGTCCAGTCTCTGACAGACGAAGAGGCCAACAGACGTACACGCGGCATCAAACCCTCGAGCTGGAGAAGGAGTTCCACTTCAACCGGTACCTAACGCGTAAACGGCGGATAGAGGTCGCGCACGCTCTCGGCCTCACAGAGAGACAGATCAAGATCTGGTTCCAAAATCGGAGGATGAAGTGGAAAAAGGAGAACATTGTGACGAAGAGCGGCGCCCCCACAGCAGTGAGTCGAGAAGAAGAGGAGGCGGTCGATGAGGAGGACTGATGTGTGACCATAGATTTTAAGAGATAAGAAAAATGTATCAGAATTTACAGGATAGGACCATTTTCAACAAAGAACTCTTCTGTTACAATTCAAGAATCCTAGACTCCTTCGTGTTATTACCTCAAGTGATTTGCGGCAGAAAGGCACGAGATGGTTGTTGATGCAATGAACAGCAGCACTTGTGACTTCTGTGGATTCGTGTTATATCTATTCCATGTGCAGTTATGTATGTATATATTTTTATGTTTGAAAAAGTCTGAGCCCATAAATCACAATCCAAGAGCTATACTAGCTTTTCGTTTCTGTTATTATTGTTCTTATTATCACTTCAGAGCGAAAGTAGGCAATCCTCTCCGCAATATTTTGATTTGTCCCCTCAATATTTAGCGGAAGAGGTTAATTTATATCCCCCCCTCCCCCCATATTTTAATGCTACTAATAGATTAAAACAGTAAGATTTATTTTTTTAATGACTCAGCAGGTATTCTGCTTAATGGGAAAACTGTAGGAAGAATTGTCCGCGAGCAGTACTGCATTATACTCCTGTTTGTTTTTGTGTTATTTAGTGTCTGAAAGTTCTGTTTTACCTTATAAGACGTTGTTACCATAAATGTATAAAGATAGACCGAGACATTTCATATGAAACATTCATGTGGTAAGGTGCTCCAACAAATTTCGTTGCAGCAGAAGGCTGATTTTTATTTTAAATGATCGCGTTTTTAAAATAAAATTAAAATTAATCGACTGTTTGCACCAGTGCTTCCTTACTTAGTTGCTGTTAGTGCATATATATATATATAATATATATATATATATATATATATAATATATATATATATATATATATATATATATATATATATATATATATACTGAGTAATTTTATATACTGAAAACATAATTCTAGTGACAAATATTTAGACAAATGAAGACTGAATATAATATTTTCCCCTAAACTTAATTTTTAACAGTCGCTTATTTTGAAAGATGTGCTTAGATATAATTGATGCTAGCACAGTATTCTTCGAGCCCTGTAAAACTAAAGGATGGAATTATAATGTAATAAAATACAAGATTTGGTATCTAGTGGGATCAAATATTTGTACAAAACGCAGTTGTTTTGTTTGTTTGCTTGATTTTAAAACAAACAACCAAACATTATTGACTATACATCGATCTATAACATTAATAAAGGCTAACGCTTTTTATTCATCACCATTTCAATATTTAAAAATCTTTTTTATGTTACTAAAGAAAAGGGTGTTATTTACAAAAACGTGCTTCAATAATCCAAGTCCTTTAGCATCAGCAGAAAATCTTTGTTACTTAAGATAAGAAAAAAATGGACTTTCTTGTGTTGTTGTTGTTCTTCGGCCAAAAATATCAAGTTTGCGCCTTTAGTATCATCAGACATTTCAAGGAGTGTTTGCCTTAAAAAGCCACCCAGTATCATAACATGAGTGTGTGTGTGTGTGTGTGTGTGTGGGGGGGGGGGGGGGGGGGGGGGGGGGGTGTTGCATCCATGAAGAGGCCAAAAACTCCAATAAAGGCATCAGACGAATAAAGCAGATGGGAGGATGGACTAGTTCTTTGTCCTGCTCTATCTGCTCTATGCAGTTGTTTTGTTTTCAGTTAAAATTTAACTCGAGCTATTCAGATAGAGGAAGCATCGGATCCCCTTCTCCTGCTAACCAGACAGTGTGCTGGTTTGGAAAGGTCACACATGGGTCAGTGAGGGTTTAAAAGAAAATCTGAAATCTGCCAAACGTCGAGCCTGTAAATAGGACGCATCATACAGAGGATGACAGAGATAAATGCAGACCAACTTGACTAACAACACAGAAAATACTAATTCTGCTAATATTGGCGCTTTTGATCATATGGGATGTGGTTCCAGTCTGCTGTCAAAGCAAATTCGCTTATAAACTGGGTTTTAATATCAACGAAACCTAATTTAAACGTTTGAAAGGTCTTATATTCTTTGAAGAGATCTTCTTGTAGTAGATGCGGGGAATGGTTCGTCATACTGCAGCAATTTAGACTGCAACCTCTTTAAGATTCAGGAAGCGTTGGATTTGGACTTCTTTGTGGGAGAACAAGACCTGCATTACCAAATAAAATGATGCGTTCAAAGACTTTACGTCAGGTGTACTCCAGACACTCGTCGTTGAAATGAAGCTCTGATGTGCTTGAACATTTCCGATTTCTAACTGTATATCTGTAAAAACATTAATATACTTTCGCTGCAGTTTCTGGCTATCCTCGGCTTCGGGCCTGCAGGTTTTAAATGGTGACGCCTTGCCGCATTGCGAAACCACTTTTACTCACAACATTTCAAGCCGGGACAGGTACTACACTCCACTGCTGTTTTTTGTTGTTGTTGTTGTTGTTGTTGTTGTTTGTCTAGGGATCTCTCATTTAACTCATTTTCACTTATACATTTCCACAGTAGGCTACGATACACTGCGTTCAATCCCTTGTGTCATAACACTTTAAACGCAAAGAATGACGTTTAAACTAATTCATTAATAATTAAAAAATGTCGCATAGGCGGCTTCAAAAGATGAGAGATTTCTGTTGATTCAGCTGATTCATATTTCAGCACCAGGGACGCAGACTTTACGTTCGTGCCACTTTCACAAAAGAAAACTTGTCTGTGTTTTGACACCAGGTCTTCTTACAACAGCAGAACACGGAATATTGGTGTTGTACTAAAAAAAATCTCAAATGCAGTATGGAAACAGAAACTTGTTTGCTCCACATTATTCCTCCTACCTTGTCTTTATATAGCTACATCTGGTTTCTGAAACATTTTGGGTCTAAATATTGTCACGTGTCGTTAATGAAAATATAATGCAAATATGACAGTGAAGATAATAAGGAAGCTCTGTCTAATTATCTAAAACGAACAAAAATCAAATAAATATAAAGCATGACATGAAAAATCCACAATAATGCGTGGCAAAATTCTTCACGCTCTCCAGTGCTTTGAAAGCTTTTAGCTTGCTTTTTAAGAAGCGGTCGATGAAGAAAATGGCGGCCTGGAGAATGAAATAAGAGAAGGAGCAGCTCGGTTCTAACAACACTCCATGAAGAAATGCAATAAATTCTTTGTTGTTTTATGAAAATTTACAACTTTGTGATACAAGTTTATGAGTGACCGCGCGCGGGGATTGGCCGACGGGCGGGTCATGTGGACGCGCTTAACGTGAACATGAACTTTTTATGATTTCCCAAGTGGCTATATTGCTGCAGCACTCCGCTCCGGCCCGAGCTGCCGCCTGTCCTTCCCTGCTCCTGCAAGGCTCCACTCGGAGTCCGACCACCGCCAGGAAATGAACACCCGGCTGTAATTAAACGAGCGAGTTAATGAGAATATTTGTTGTGACTGTGGAAACCGGCACGGCGAGACGCCGACAACAAGCCGCCCCTCCCCCTCCTGCTTCTTCTCTTCCTGCTTCGCTATGGCTTCTTGCTCCGTCTGGTCTCGTGCTGCTGCTGTCTATTCCAAATTGGCGGATCTGGATGAGGACAGTTCCGCTGTGATGAGACAAAGAAGGGGCGAGCAGTGGGACCCAACCCGGAGAAAGCATCCCGGAGATGCCCTCATGATTTACATTTTTAATTTCAATTTGACATTTGATTTGTCACTTGTCACTGCAAGGATGATGAAGACTACGGTGGTGGTTTGACGCCTGGGTGACAGCAGTCCCCCATCCCCAGTTCCTGCACTTCCTCAACATTACATCCACCTAATTACCACCCAGTGCAGGGCTGTCTCGTGCCATTCCAGACTGCCTGACTTGTTCGAACGCAAGGAAGTGACCGGCAGGTGTGTGGGCTCGTGACGGATTATCAACAAACGGTAAGAGGCGTCCACGCACGTTTAACGCAACCCTGCATGATGCGCATTGTTAAAGGAGCAGAGAAAATGAGTCAGCGCAGCTTTTCTCAATTCTGCAGCATCTAGTTGATTCATTTGTTTTTTGTTTTGTTTTGTTTGTTTTTTCTAAACGAAGCGTTGCTCCGCCATTTCAGAATAAACGGTTTCCTAGCTGGATCTATACAGATATATTGCTTAGTTTAAATAGTGGTATTAGCTGTCGAGGAGCCATCTATTGCTCGAAACTCGGCTGTTTGAGAACTGAAAGATTAGCTTCCAGCTTTTCCTCCAAAAGCTGCGCATTGTGTTTGCAGGAAGGAGGCAAATGTGCAAATGAAAAAGACTGGCTTTGATCTGATGGCTTTGGCAGAATTTGAAGTCCCTCATTTACTATGACTTTTAAAGATAAAAGCAACAGTTTTCTATTTTGGGGGTTTGCATCTGGCTGCAGGTGAATTGAAGATGAGCTTCTGGGGTTTTTGTCAGTGTTTTACTTCCAGCGTGTAGGTTTTTCTGTTTCGATTTTTTTTTCATTAGATTGACAGCGCGAGTGTGTGTGTGTGTGTGTGTGTGTGTGTGTGTGTGTGTGTGTGTGTGTGTGTGTGTGTGTGTGTGTGTGTGTGTGTGAGAGAGAGAGAGAGAGAGAGAAAGAGATAGTTTACAAGCAAGGCATGTTTGTCTGTCTCACTTTTATGACTTTGGTTCCCTTCTCATTTCCTCCCTGGAGCAGACGTTTTTTTTCTTTCCCTGCAATCACAACCCCACAGTCACAAACACACCTGTAGGTGTCATCTCCTTGGTCTCCAATTTGTTGCCGTCTCTAATATCAAATAGCCAGACTTTTCATCTCAGAGCGCGCGCACACACACACACACGCACACACACACACACACACACACACACACACACACACACACACACACACACTTGATCACAAGGACAAAAAAAGAAGATTTTATCTTTATTTTTACCCTTGTCTGACAAATCATCATCACCCAATGTTTAAAGCTTATGTGGTTTTTCTTATTGTAACATGTTATTTACTAACGCTCATATGTGCTCCTTGATATTCCTCCTCATACAAAACAGGGTCTGACTGATTATCTAAGAACATTGCAGGTCTGCAAACGGCTGTGGAAATTTTCGCTGGACAAATATACACTTTAACAACTTGTATTTTACCTTATAGTCATTTATTTGGTTGTTGTCAAATTATTCACAAACCACTCATAGAAATGTATGCACATGTATTTTTACAGTTAAACCACATTTCGAGTCGTTTCCAATTCCGCTTTGTAGATGAACAGCTAACACAATCATTCTTATGCAGGATGGTTTAAAACACACAGTAGACACAAGGATATGCCTAATAGTAAGCTGTAGCATGATGAACATATATCCTAGAATCAACAGTCTTGCTTTGTGAGAAATTCAGTATTGTCAATAAACACCAGTTCTTTAAGATAAAGTCACTGCCTCGTTTTAGGGATATATTGTGAGCCACATGCAATACGCCGTGCCGGACTTTCTAAAGCCACGATCACACTAAGTCGTGGCTACAGATCTGCGGCACTTTTCCAATTCTTTATTCCGTCTGTAGTGGTAAACGGAACATAAATCAATCGTGCATTCGTTAAGTTACGGGGTATGCTGAACGTGATAAGTAAAACAAACGCAAACATAGAACAGAGAAATAAAATGTATAATAAATTATGTATATTTTTTTTAAATCTGTTTGCGATTAGAAGGCATTTCTATTGTAGGGCCTATCTTACAATATAAAGCGCCTTTATGAGACTGTTGTGAGTTGGCGTTGTATAGATAAAATTTAATTAAATTTGAAATTGAATTTCTTTTTGGTCCCAGGTACCGTGAAACATTTGCTTTAAAAACATGACTTTACTGAAATGCATTGAGCATACTTATGGGTTTTAACAAACACGTATGCTAAAATATTTATATTTTTGTCGCAGATATCAATATAGTATTGAGGTTATTGAACAGAGAAAGACCACGCAGAATCTCAAATCAGCTATTGACACTCATTATTGTCAGCAGTGTAGTATTATTTTTATTATTATAATCATTGACTAGGTTTAGAACAGCAGTATGCGTGTGTGTTTATGTATGTGTGTGCATTAATAATCACGGACTCGAGAGATGTTTACGGTCTTATTTACCATATTTAGAAGTGTCATCTTTAGTTATACATTTTTCACATACTACAGATGTAGTTATATTTAACCGTCAAACAATTTGGATCATATACAGATGTTAATGTATGTCTTGAAATTCTGGAACTAAAATGGATAATTTAACAGAAATATAATTGTTATATAATACTAAATGAAGACAGTAACATTTAGAGAGTGGTATGTAAGGTACCAGCAATGTGTGTCTTTCTGTCTTGTGTTCTCTGTTTTGGTAGATAAGTTGAAGCCAATAGTCTGTTTTCCTGTAAAGCTGTGATCACACAGCTCTGGGAGCAACGGTTATAGACAGACACAATCCGGAGGCTGTTTGTGTTCGACGGCAGTCCTTACAATGAAGCTTCAGAGCAGCCCAGAGTCCGCACTTAACAAGACACTCTGGTGCCATCTAGTGTTCCGTTAACAACAATACCAAAGAGCACATAGACACATACACAGGTTCTTCTTTCTCAAGACTCGGAAACACAAGTTATACATCCCTGGGTCAGTGTCAATGCGATTTACAAAAACCATGCCCGCAATTTTACTTATGTATTACCTCTGGAAAAATAATACCAGGTCAACCCCAGCGAGTGGCACAAAAAGCTTTTGTGTGCTTTCACAAGAGTGTATGCTGAAGATTTTTTTTGTCTTTGATGTAGGGTTGGAAAGGTCGACTTGTAGCACTGAGGTAGAGAAACGGGTGTTTCTCTCCGTCCTGCTTTGTTGCCAAGGTTAGGCTGGGTGCTGTTACACTGCTGAATGAAACGTGGAGAAAACCGTGTGTGTACAAAATCCCAGAAGAATGCTGTGCTTGTGTGTGTGCGTGTTTGCGCGTGCGCACGAGCACTGGATGTGCTCAAGGAAAAGTAATTCTGGATGCAAAATTTATGCTGATTGGTCAGGAGGGCTGTTTCGGAATAGAGCGGCAAGCAGGGAATGTGAGTGCATGGGCTTCACCGTGTTCGTGTGTGTGTAAGCATATTAATTCGTCCTTGCTTTGTGGTTTTATCACTTGCGCTTATCTGTAAATCTGTTGTGCAGCCCCACTCAGATATATGTTTCCAGTTGTGAACGTGTGTGTAATCATCTGAAAGACCCTCATGGAGGGAAAACTATGGCGTTCTGTTTAATTTATGACTTTAGCATAGTCTCACTTTAAATTGAGTATTCAATTTCAGAGTATTGAGATCAGATACAACATTTGTTTTCGCTTCACCTATTTGTGGTCTGCGCAGCGGATAAATACCTCGACAGGATTTTCTGTGCAGTTAGAATAACGATTGCCAGGATGATAGTACCAGATTATTATTATTATTATTATTATTATTATTATTATTATTATTATTATTATTATTATTATTATTATTATTATTATTCGTCTGACCAAATAATGTCGAACAACACAGTTTGAATAATCAAGCTCGAGTCTTCTTATTTAGCCGAAAAATATGCGGCTCTTTCTGATGCTGCATTCACCCACCCGTTAAACTTTAACTGGTCCCGAGGCCTTTTGTGGCTGAGGGCTGGCGTCCACCGGTAATAGTCCAGTGAACTGACCTGGAGCGCGTGCTCACAGTACCCTGAAGGACGCGGCGAGTCGACTGGCGCTGCCTGGAAACGATTAATATATTAAACAAGAGAAAGTACTAGTCAGGCAGTTTTTTGGAGTTTGTCATTAACTGGTGCAGCAGAAGAGGTCTCTTTCTCTCTCGCGCGCGCGCGCGCACGCACACACACACACACCGAGCAAGAGAATTAGCAATAGAAGCTCCATGTATCTAAACTCTGAACACATGAACTTTTTATCTCCAAGCATCACAACTTCTGCAATCTTCTATACGATCCTAAGAGCGAAAGTATTCTACTTATATCAAAAAATGTCCCCGTTTTTCCTGACATGAGTAAAACCCATAAAATATCTAAATTAATGACATTATAACAGACCACCTACTTAAAATGTCTGCTCTGCCAGACAAGGACCAGTCTGATGCGCGCAGAGTTTTGAACTCCTTTTTGTAAATAACTCGTACTAAAATGACACATAAGAGTAATTTAGTAGGATAAGCAGTGAATTTTTAATTTCATAGACGGTTAATTATTTAACCCGTGAAATGCTATCGATCCTTTCACTGCCACGGCTGAAATAAACCACAGGTGAGCTGCACAGTGCTCGTTACTTGTGCGGAGAACAGCACATTTGTTCATCTGCTGTTTTGCTGCGGGCCTGTTTTTCAGTTCGTAGCCATTCCTCGGACTTTACAAGGAGTCATAAAAAGTCATAAAACCATAAAAGTCCTGAGTTCTCTCTTTCTCCTTCGCACATACCCCCCTTACACACACACACACACACACACACACACACACACACACACACACACACACACACACACACACACACACACACACACACACGCAAAAGGTGAAAGGGACCCATAAAGCCATAAAGCAGCCGCCTGACTCTTTCAGCTTTAATTGTCGATAATCTCTGAAGTTTCCCGGATTCCTGGAGTTCCTTCAGCGCCTCTCGGCTGTTTACTCTGAAGCTGCACCATTAAATTTACTGTGCAGGAATACAGCAGGCTTAAAACGCATATCCGTTTAGAAAAAAGATGGGATTTGTAATTGTCATCCAACCAATTTTTAACGTGGGAGAATGTCCCAGAATATTAACTTTTTTCTTTCTTTGTTTTCTGATATAATCTAGACCATTCCATCTCTCTACAGTTTCTATTTATTTGTGTCATTATGATTCATATACTTAAAACCGATTTCGCTTCTTGTCATTACCCTGTTATTAGTGTTGGACCAGTGGTAAAAACTTAATAACTATATAGCTAATGACTGGAAGGCTGTTAGCCTACTGATTTTGGGGTGGTTAAAGCAGCTAACAGGCCATCCGAGGTAGCTTATGTTATTTGTGGTCTTTTAAGTCTCCCATTTTGTATTGTAGTTACTCAAATAAATAATTCGTTGAATTTCGGCACAAAGGTCTAGCACACCCAATGTCATGGTAATGCTCTCAGCAGCGTCGGTACACAGCCCCGTTCCCTTTTTTTCAATACTGGTGGACGGCAAGTTAAAGTTTGGTAGACTTCAATATCCCCGTCAACACAAGGAAATATCAGGCAGTAAAACGCAACAAAGCATAAGGTCACGTGACATAAAATGTGACTTCTTTACTAGCTTTAAAGCAGACTATGTCCTTCTGCTATTCCTTTATGTCCACCCCACTCCTCTCCCTGACACACACTCGCACAGGGACCAACCATCCGGTTCTCAAATAGCAAAATGTTTCCAAAGTTTAGGTCGTTTTTTTCTTTGCTCTGCTCTTTCGTGTCGTCTGCCACTCGCTTCTCCCAACTGCAATTGCATCTGCAATGACACATAAATATATGTCCACTTGCAACATGGAGGACAATGTCATCATGCAGTGTTGCCTATGAATATTTCCATGCAGTCACATGATATAAGATGATAAGATGATGATATTTCATGTTGCTTTTCCAGCATTAGAACCAAACTACAAGTTCGTGAGATCTCCTCTGAAGTTATTCTTAAATGTTACATTAATCTATACTTTAAATAAACTGCTAATCTCTGCAAAAATTGTCATATAAAATACATAGATGCTTCGTAACAAAACTTTCGGTATGTTACTATACCAACACTTCAATTGGCTTGACAATATTCTTAGCTTAAGCAGAGCTGTACCTCGAATCAGGAAAAGCTATGATTCTGCCTTTATATTATTATTAGTATTATCATTATTATTATTTGTATTTTTCAAAGTTCTTTCTTCATATTTACTCTGTGGGCTGGTGCTGGTATAGGCCTACCACAGATATAATACCAAAGCCACAATCACGTTAATACCGTGCTAATGCAAATAGGCTGTATATATAATAATAGTATTACCGTCTTGTGTGTGTCCCAGGCTGTAGGCCATGCCTGTCCTGTCCCGACTGTTAGTGCTCATTAATGATTACACCACAGTCAGCTCCAACACAATGCTGTTGCTTCCCGTTCCCACAAAGTGGAGAGGAAACGGAGCGTCCTGCCAACAAGAGAGAGCGAGAGAGAGAGAGAGCGAGAGGTCAAAATAAAAGTTCAGAAGACAGATTCTCCATCAGTTTGTGTAATCCTGCATAGAACGCGCGGCTCGGGGATTAAATTTCATATTTGTCCTCCTACGACGAACAGTATTACTTTAAAACGAAGAGATGGGGGAACTGATGAAGTGGGGAGGTGAAGTAAAAGTAAAAATAGGCTTTGTCTCTATCGGTAGTCAAACTGTCTACAGTTTGGCCATTCAGACAAGTCAGAGCCTGTAGAGGAAGCACAGAAAGACACCGAGAGGGGGGGCGACTTATTTATGACTGCGGTTATTTTACGACCTCAGCGACACATATTCCGTTTGTGACCGCGAATGAAAAGCACGCCGAAATACCCCCACCCTCCACCCAGCTCGACCCTATTTATTCTCCTCTCTAATTTTGAAGAAGGAAAGGGAGGTTCTAATGTTTCTTTGCGAAAAGAGTGCAAAATGTGTCTGTGTAAATTTAGTTTTTATTATTCTAAGGGATGATAATAATAATTTGTGACACTAGTGTACCCATTAGCTATGTTTTTTTCTTTTACATTTATAATTATCGTTCTACATTTATAATTATCGTTCCATATAGTGTAAAACTGAGAAAAAAATATAATATAATTTTACAGTAGTAATGCAGTATGTTTTTTTTGTTAGTGGTAAAACTAACAAATCTATAATAACGGCGTTTTTTTATTCGAAGACTTCATTCTAATTGTTTTTTTTAAACAATGCAATATATTTCGGTTCAATATAAACATGGACGTGGCCATATATATATTGAAAGAGCTTCAGGCGCGTGGGTCTAATGAGTGTCAAGATGACGCTAAGAAAAAAAGCAGAAAGAAAAAATACTTCTTTTCTTTTTTTGTTTTACATTTCAGGCTAATCAGTGTCACCGGAGAAGAAAAAAGGAAAATAATAAATCACTGCACACATTGATCAGACCCAGCACCCTCTGGCACAGTATAGGAGTTACATTTTTCTGACTGAATAGTCTTATGGTACTCTTATAGCAGCATGTGTGGATATATATATATGGATATATATGGATATATATATATATTTTTTTTTTCTACATTTCTAACTATCAGATTATGTGCCGAAAATCCCTTCCAAATTACTAAATTAGTCTTCTGCTTTAGAAAATAGCAGCCTGCGATAGGAGTAGGACACACACACTGGCCGAAGAGGGGACATAAACTACCCAATCACCAGATATACCAATTGCAAATATACAACACTCCAATTACATGGCCCATATTATATAGTAGGCTGAATCTAATACTAGCATCACACACACTGCACCACACACAAGACGCGCGCACGTTCCCGGCTGTGATTTACGCTCCACAAATTCATTTTAATGCGGTCGGTATTATCTCCAAAGCGCCGGGAAACATATTTTATTATTCGGTTGCCTTCTCTCCCAACCCCAAGGGGAAAACGCGCATACGTGTGAGAACTGCTGGTTTTTATGGGTCCAACAACAGACGGAGGAAGACACACGGGGAGAGAAAAGAATCAATTTAACGCGTCGAGGATTCCGGTGTGATTGCGCAATGTCACCGGGAACAGAAGGAAGATTAGAAAGAGAGATTAGATACGAATTAAAAAGGAAAGAAAGGAAGAGAGCGTGTTTGTGTGTGGTGGTGGGGGTGTATTCGGTAGTTCCCAGACCTCCTCCTCTTCCTCTTCTTCTTCCTCTCCTACGAAAGGAAAACAGCGAACGAATGCCAGGCACAGACGCGTCCCATTGGTCAGTTCGAGGTCAGCTGGTGTCTGCCCTCCAACCCCCCACCCGATACCCCTTCTCGCCCCGTCCCGTGTTCTCCGATCGCATACACACACGGAGAGGTTCTCTCTGTTGCCCCCACCCTCCACACGCCCCTCCGTCCCACACTGGCACTCAGCCCACCTAATACAACCCCCCCCCCCCCCTCCTCCCAATCTGCGATACACTAAGTGATAGCGGCAGCCCGTCGGACTGTCGGCTATAAAACACAACAAATCATAAAGTGCAGGCAGGGGAAGGCAGAGGAAGCAGGACGGGAGGGAGAACCGTTAGCTGCTAGCCGTTAGCCTCTGCCTACTCCTCCTCCTTCTCCTTCTTCATCGAGTGAACGTTGTTATTGTGTTTGTTTCGTCCCCTCCTGTCCTCCCCTCTCCTCTTCTCCTCTTTTCCGGCTTCTCCTCTTTTTCTTCTTTCTCCTGATGAATTCCTATTTTGTCAACTCCTCTTTCCCGGTGACGCTACCGGGAACGGGTGGAAGCGGGCAGGCGGCGGCAGCAGAGTCGTTTTTGGGTCAGATACCTCTCTACTCATCGGGATACGCCGCCGACCACCCGCTTAGGCACTACCCGGGGGCAGCAGCCGTTAGCGCAGCTGTGGCATACAGCACCGGCGGACCCGGCGCACACCAGGACAAACCGTACCCGGCATCCACCTACTACCAGCAGGCGGCCAATGGAGCATATACCGGACACCGGGCGACAGCAGCAGCGGCGGGGGTCGGTGTTGGGGGCGCGACCGGAACCGGTGCCTGCGACTACGCCACGGCAGCGGCGGCAGCGGCGGCCGCAGCTGCAGCCACGACTTTCTACAGGGATAAGGAACACCCGTGCGCTCTGGAGGAGCATCAGCTCGCGCTCAGTCAGGACGGCGTGCAGCGTAAAACAGAGTGCGTAGGGCTCAGTGCAAAGGGGCTTTTCGGAGAAACGATGGAAGACAAACAGTCGGCGTCAGTGCCCATTTATCCATGGATGCAGCGGATGAACGCCTGCAACGGTGAGTGTCTTCTTCTTCCTCTTCCTCTCTTTCTTGCATATTTTATGATCCCAGTCATAGAAATGACGTTTGTTTCCTCTGTCAGCCTCTGTTAGATTTCCTTTCCTTTTCCCCTCCTCCTGCCACAGAAGCTGCTTTATGATCCCCGTTTGTTGACCTGTCAGTCCGTCATGTGCGCTGTATTTTATTGTCCGTCATAAAACGGGTTTGTTTGCATTGCGGGTCCTTTTACTGTAGCCTGTGTGACCCGTGACGATGCTACCAAGTAAAGCAAAGTGTGGGGGAAAACAAGGAGCAGATAAAAAAAATTAATGATGTAGATATAGAGGAAATACAGAGATAAGTCTAAATATCCACACTCTATTAGTCATTCGTTTATTCAAATGTGTCTGAATAGTTCATCTCTTTTATTTTTGAAAACGCTTTTCCTCTCAGACATACTCTGCTTTGAGCCATGACCAATAGGATGCGATAAATACTGTTTTGTTTTTGCTAACGTTTCTTTTCTGTGCTGATAAAGATATATCACATTTCCTGTTGCTATTATTGGTTTTGACCTTTTCTATCTTATCGTTTATTGAGCCTCCGCAGCGTAGACAGTGTTATTCACTGTTGATTCAAATCGTATATAGATATAGCCTAAAGTTTAAAGTGAAAGTGAGGCAAACCGTGGCGGAAATAATGTGAAATAGTTTCATTTAGTCGGCTCTCCTAAAAGTTTGTGCTTTTGCACTCTTGCATGATTTAACCTAAAGTGTTAAACACTGTCCTGTGCTGCAAACCATCCTTAAGAGAGAAAAACGGCCTGTTGAGGGTAGAATGAGTAATAGCAGATGATGCAGAGCTAGTGTTTTGTAAAGCCCTGCAGGACACTCCGAGTTATGACAGATGAGGTGGTAACATACTTCGCCGCAAATAAATATATATGGAGGAAAACAAAGAGCGCGTTATAAATGACAGTTAAAGGTGCAAATAGTAGGCAGAGAGAGGGGAGAGTTATTTATGGTCATTTGGATTTAGATAGGAATAGCTTGTGGCATGCAATCCATGCTCTTACTTTCAAATCAATACATGAACTGAAGTTGCCTTAATTGCCTTATTAGTGAAGATCGGTGTATACACACCACAATGGGAATTTATTTTCTGAATTTACTGCTACTTACCATCAGCAACATTATATAACATAGTTATTCTCCGTGTTTCATAAACCATGAAGTTCAACTTTCCTGTAGAATGATTGTTATTGTTTTTATTAAACAAAATAAGAAATCCAAGTTTTCACTTTTCACAAAGCCAAAAATAATCCGCGGCTTCGCAGTCAGAGTAAGTAAACATTTTAGTAAAACAATGTTAAATTCACATTAAAACAGTGTCCTTAAGGGATGGCGCACATTGTTAGATGGCAGCCATCGTCTGCATTGTTCTTTAATGTGAACATTACTAATTCTTAATTTAAGCGGGGGCAAATAGCCTTGATAATACTAAACAGGCACTGTTGTGGAAACTTGTAGAATAGAATAGAATAGAATAGAATAGAATAGAATAGAATATGCATGTGATGAACTTTTCTGGTAACGTTTTCTTAACAGAATAGTTAACGCCTCAGTGTTGTTATCTTGGTTCAAATGTATCTGTCTCTTGCTTCTCAGGGACCTTCAGTAGCCCCGGGAGACGCGGTCGGCAGACGTACACCCGCTACCAGACGCTCGAGCTGGAGAAGGAGTTTCACTTCAACCGGTACCTCACGCGGCGACGTCGGATCGAGATTGCGCACGCGCTGTGCCTCACGGAGCGACAGATTAAAATATGGTTCCAGAACCGGAGGATGAAGTGGAAGAAGGAGAACAAGCTGATCAACTCCTCTTCTACATCCTCTTCTTCTTCCTCTACGGCGAACGGTGCAGATGAAGAGGAGAAACGGACTGAGTAAAACAGGACCAAAAATAAACTAATGTAAGACACGTAAAAGGAAGGGCAGAATAAAAGAGAAGACATGCTGATTAATCTCATGCCTCCAAGTTTTTCAAGAGCACCCCCCGCATTTTTTTCTCTCTCTCTCTGTTGTTTTTCTTTCTTTCTTTCTTTTCCTCACCTGAGCAGTGGTGAAACAACGGAATGGGGGGATTTATTTTTATCCCTCTTACATCAACTCTTTCTGTAGGCTGTACTTGAGTGGTCTTATATTTGGTAATAATTTGTAAAACACTCTATAGCAAGGGTTATGTAACTGTGGAAAGGGACAGATACGATAAAACCTGGGAGGGGAAAGGAACATGGCGTTAAATTAAAGAATACAATAGATGAATGAACACTTTTTTTAAAGGCCACCAACACAAGGCCACAAGTAGTTTTGAAACACAATTTATTGCTGCATTCCGCCTACCGATTTTTTTACTGTACTTTTTTATGGCTATGCATATTTAATTTATTTCATTTTATTTTTTATTCTTTCAAAGACATCATGTAAGGCACTTGTTTTAGGGTTTACAACTTGTTTTGGGGGCTTTAGAACTTGACTTCCGGCTGTTTCCTTCCCGATTTTGTTTCTTATTATTTGTAAATGTGTGTAGCCTTTAATACCTTTAAGTACACGTGCAAGTATGCTCTGCATATACACGAAGGGAGGAAAAACTATTGGAGGTATGTATGTCTTATGGTGTTCATATTTAAACTGTACAGAAATAAGCAAGGGAAAAGCACCTTGTATGGTGAAAATAATGTAACTACGGTTGAGGGGAATTTTTCAATATCGGGAAACCTGTTGAAGCTTTGGGTGGGGTTGCGGTTGTTAACCTACTGATGATATTCGCCAAACTACCTAAAACATTCAGGAAAGTGTATATTTTATCGATTTTTACATGTTTTGGTTATGTGTTATTGTCAAGTAATCACATATACTACCTATGACAAATGTTTAATAAAATGTAAAGGAATTTATGGAGAAAGGTTATTTTTATAACGGGGATAGGGTGTGTTTGTGTGTGTCTTGGGGCATGAAATGAATTTTCATTTATTCTAACATTAATTAACGCGCAGTAAAGGTTAGTCAAACTCAACATTACTGGATTTGAGATTGGTTTATTTTATGATTTAGAGGACAACTTTAACACGCTTGAGCCTTTTAGCCTCTTACTGGTGTTAAACGCGAGGCTGCGGCCAAACAGGCGCACGCGACGATCTGGAAGGAAAGCGACGAGGAGAGTGAGCTGCTGATGGCGGGCTCAAACTAAATGATGACCAGAGCGAGGCAGAGAAAGTTGACCTCTCCTCGAGCCCTGCAGCCAGACACGTTACACATAGACACACACTTCACGCAGACAAAGTGGACAATGTCCTCGTGACCTTTTAACTCTACTTGTCCCCTGAGTGACCGGCGCGTTGTATCCATCTTGGAAGTTTCACTGATGCGGGTGCAAACACACACACACACACACACACACACACACACACACACACACACACACACACACACACACACACACACACACACACACACACACACACACACACACCACTGCACATTAGCTTATCTCATGAAACATGAAAACCATAAAGACAAATATGGTCTAAATCAGAGTTACTTTAGAATGATTTCATTTGCCGGCTTTTCATTCGGAACATTCAAGATATATTTCTGAATTTTCCAGTTATGGGTATAATAACACACATAATAAGCATAACAGAGAACAGATATTTGTTTATTTATTATTTGACGGTCTTAAGTCATACCAAGCAAGTGCTGTTATTATAGCATGTATCTAACGAATACACATTTTAAGTTTAGAAAAAAAAATCCTGTTGGAATACTACCAAGACAAAGATGGCATAAGCTGGTAGTAAATAATTAATAAGCACACCTAGAAAAACCAGCCTCGCCACTGTGCGAGGCGAAGAACTAAAGCTTTCACATGATTTAATTAATGATACTTTTAGTTATGTTATGTTTGAATTTAATACTTTGAGAGACAAATTGAGAATATAGTGAGACTCGCAATGAAATGACCTCAAGAGAAAATCTATTAAAGCGTATTCTGCAGCACAGACATATTCAGTGTACGTTGGTTTCTTTTTGTGTTGTGGATATGACTCGATTGG